GTACAGCGTCATCATATAACTGGCATGGCGGTGAACGGGGACACTGACTGGTGACAGTATGAAAAAAAAAATATATATATTTTTTTAATTTTTTTTATTATTTTTAATTTTTTATTACATTTTTTTTTTTTTTTAATGATTTTTCATATTTTACTATGACCAAAGTAGTACAATGTTACCATAGTAACATTGTACTACTTTGGGGAAGTGATCAGTATTTTTTTTTTTTTTACACAATTTGCTTATAGCAAAGAATTACTTTGCTATAAGCCTTTACCTGAATGAAATCGATTCATTCAGGTTTGTTTTTTCTTTTTTGTGCTTAGCTGTGATTTGGCCACAGCTAATCACATGACATTTGCATGTGACCTGCTGTGACCATTCACAGCTAGGCACTAGTGTACAATGGATGGCATGAATGAAGCCATCCATTGTATACAACTGTCATATGACCTGCTGTGATTGGTCATATGGTACCGGCAACGGGGGCCGGTACTCAGATCTGTCATCGGCCGTGTCCGAGGTACACGGCCGGTGACAGATCGCGCCGCCGCGCGGCTCTGCAACCGCGCGAACTGCGCATGTGCGGGAGGACGCCAAATGGCATGCACCCGGAAAGCTAAAGCATTTTTGCGGCCGCCAAATGGCTATAGGCCGGGCGGCTAATGGTTAAATAGGGACATGTGTGTTCCAGTGCGTTTTGGTGCATTTCGGTGTGTTTTACCACATTCCAGTACAGTTCTGTGCAGGAAAAATGCAGCCTGTTCTACTTTTTTTTCCTGCATCCGGAACGCAGTGGAACTGCAAGCACTGATGTGAACTATGACATTGACAACCATATAGCCTACTTTCTGTGCATTTGCAGAAAATAGCAACTGAAACGCAGTAGTGTGAACTGGCCCTAAGCCTGCTGTAACCCTCTGTACAGCAGCTCTAAGACTGGAAGAGGGTGGGGCAATACTATGAGCCAATCAGGGATGCTGCCAGTACATGTGCTGACAAGAGGGGAGAGTATAATGAGCATAGGTGTGAGCGGCTGCTAATACTTCACTGTCCAATCACACAGAAGGGGTAGATAGGTGGCCTAAACTTTATTGCTTAAAGTGGTTCTAAAGGCCAGAGGTTTTTACCTTAACCTCCCTGGCGGTCTAACTAATCAATATTTTTGAGTGTCAAAGAGGAACTTTTTTTTGCATGGAAATTTGTCGTTTTATATTGTAGGCCTGTAATTCTTAGGAATAACTCACTTAAATCTGTCCAAACAAGAGTCTAGTAAACATCCCGGGTATGATAAAGTTTGAAATCCGAAATCATAAATTATAATATAATAAATAATTATAAAAAATAATAATATAATAATACATTTAATTCAATAATGTAATCAAACCAAAAACACTGAAATTTGAAATATAGCGCCAAGTTCGCACATCACTGAGCAAAGTCGCAAAATCGTTTTCAGTGTCTGATGACGAATTTCCCCACGAATCATTATCACTCAATTCTGCAAGTGGTTCTAATTTACTATCACTGTTCTCTAGCCGGTCTAAAACCACTTTTGACCTAAAGGGACGCTTTTTGGATGACATGGACGTTTCTCAGTTTCCAGGCAGAAAGAATGGTAAAAGTGCAGGTAGGGCACAGGGCAAAGCACTAGGGACACAATTTAGGTGAAATGGTTTGATACAGTAATGTGATACCAACAGATTACAATGTATTGTGTGTATGTAAAATTTTTACTTTTTTGAATCTCCCGCCGAACGTTCCGATGCTCACAGGGAACGGAACCCGGAAGACGGATGCTGGCATGACCGAGTGACACAACGGGAGGATCTCACAGGATCGCAGGACAAGGTAAGGCTCGAGGGATCGCTGCAGTGTAATCCCAAGTGTTGCTCAGAATTACCGCTTTTGCTACTGAAATGAACCCTGAGCCACACTCGGGATTACCGCCAGGAAGGTTAATGCATTCTTCATCTTGATCCAGTGCTATGCAGGCTCTTTCCACTCTCTCCCGCCTCAATGGCTCAGAGACAGTAACGGGAGCTACTGGCTCCAACTGCTGCCAATCACAGCTAGTGAGGAGGGAGCCGCTCTCTCCCTCCTCAATGGCTCAGAGACAGTAATGGGAACTACTAGCTCCAACTGCTGCCAATCATAGCTAGTGAGGAGGGAGCCGCTCTCTCCCTCCTCAATGGCTCAGAGACAGTAGCGGGAGCTACTGGCTCCAACTGCTGTCAATCACAGCTAGTGAGGAGGGAGCAGAGGTGGGGCCAAGCCACGCTAAGTGTATCAATGGTTACAGAGCCAGCTTGGGAGCGACTTGCTCATAGCACTCAGCGGGAAGGGGAGGAACCAGGAATGCCAATGGGGGACCCCAAATTGGGGATTGGGGCTGCTCTGTGCAATACCACTGTATAGAACAGGTAAGTCTTACATATTTTTTTTTTTTTAATTGATACTTTACAATCGCTTTAACTTCAGCAAAGGAAAGTCAAGTGGCCAGGTTATGAAAATTACAGGACTAGCTGGACATGAATAGAAACCCTCCTTTATATCTGAAATTTGGAACTGGAGAGAAGGAGGTCTTTGTGAGGAGCGGAGTGTGCGTGCTGGGTGGTACTTGGATATTAGGTCAGTGATGTAGTTCGGGGCAGTATGGTGGATGGCTTTGTACGTCAGTGTTAGTCTTCTCCACCCAGGCGACAGTGTTTGGGGTTTGGTGACTGGCAATTTCACAAGCTATTTAGGAGAGGTGGTGATGCAGGCAAGTATCAGTAGATGGGGAGAGAACCTGTCACCTTGGTCTGGATAGTGTACTGGCTTCCCTTGACCTGTGTATGCACATGCACTGTATTGTATCAGTAACACCGAACAGTGGTCTATAGACAGTAATCGTTTAAGCTGAATTTCTTCATGCCATACATTTCCAGCTAGGGCCCTTTGTAAAAAAAAAAAAAAAAAATTAAAAAATAACACACATCAGACAAATGTTGAAATGTCAAATTTCATTTGCAGTTCAAAGAGGTAAGTGCTGTAGAAATGCAGTCTCTGGCCATACAGTTATTGTTTAGGCGAGCTTGCAGCGTGCAGTCTGCGTTTGATCTATTTTTAAACTGTTGGAAATGTTATCTGCTCATTCTGCAGCATCTCAGTAGTTTCTTTATTCCTCAAACACAACTGATGTAGACACAGCAGAATACGTTTCCTATTAGCTTGGCAGATCTGCAGAGAGACTGATTATAACCATGTGATGGACTACCGACAGTAGCCGAGTATGTAAACATCGAGCAAAACGACCAGCATGGGCAAATGAAGACTGAGCACTGGTTATTTAAAAAAGTAGCTATAATGATTTTGGTTTTTTTTTACATGTTTTAAAATTGTATATGGTTTAAACCATCAGTTTTTTTAATAATGATTTAAAAAAATTTTTTAACACAGGATTTAGTACGGCGGGACTCATGACGCTGGTGTCACTATGGATTTTCTAAAAAGACAGTGCAGCAGTAACTGTTTGCTTTCAGATTCTCTCTTTCTATCATTTGAAATGCAGACCAGAACAGGGGAGACATGAGAGGAAGTACAAGTCACTCACGCAGCTGTTTGTGTAATCTGAGCTTAACAAAAAATTCCATTTATGGATATTTTATACATTGATCCATCTTGGACCAATGTAACTATGCATATACCATACCTGGCTGATAGCCCTGGAAGCTGGAAATGACTGAAGTACAGACCACTACTCCATTGATCTCCACTTGGTTCCGGGTCCCAGCTGCCCTGCTACATTCTGAACAAAGGAGGTCGGCTGCTCGGCATCAACACTGTTCAAAGAATCATTTGCATTTCCAGAATGAATGAAAAGCATTCTGATTGGATGAGGTGGAAAGTGTGACATCACCGCCTCAATGCAGGAGACGGAAGCAAGTGGAAATCACTGCAGTAGCGTTGTCTACTTTACTGATTTTCAGGTTCCAGGGTCATCGGCCAAGCATCATATAAACATAATTACACTGGTCCAAGCTGCTTTTCTCACTCACATTAAGAGGTCCACTAATTTCACTTTTAAGCAAATGAAAACATGTTGACATGCAGTAAAACTCACAGCGATACACTTTACAATATGTAATAAAATTAACAATAATGTATGTGCTTAGTTGTGAAAGGGCACTTAATATTTTGGTCTGGTCATGCAGAGAGTTAAAATACTATGCATGGTGCGTAACACAATTATATACAGATATCTGGCTTATGTAGGGAGGTACAGTACTCTATCATATGTAATAATATTATATAATGTTAATGTACAGAGACCAGGTTATATAGGCAGGTACAGTATAACGCCATACTATTACACCAATATAGAGTGGAGTCTGTATAGGGTGTCATAGAATGGAATTTTGTACTGTCCAGTGGTCCAGGTTATGCTTGAAGATATAGCCGTTTAAGTATTGCATCATGAATACTGCTGCCAGGCTCATCAACCTTACCAACCGTTCAGTGTCTGCTACCCCTCTCTGCCAATCCTTCCACTCGCCCAACAAATAAAATTCAAAATACTAACAACTTACAAAGCCATCCACAACTCTGCCCCCAGCTACATCACTAACCTGGTCTCAAAATATCAACCAAACCGCTCTCTTCCTATGGAACTCCCTACCCCAATCTATCCGGCTAGCTCCTAATCTATCCACCTTTAGACGATCCCTGAAAACCTCTCTCTTTAACCGCCTCCCACCCACCATATAAGGTAATGACGGGCGCAAGGCGGTTTCTCTCGCTCTGGCGGCACGCAGAATGTCGATTTGTGGTGCGCTGTGTCCCTCGGACACAGCGGATCACCGATCAATGGAAAGAGCCAAAAATGTCGGCTCAGTCATGTGATCAGCTGTGTCCAATCACAGCTGATCGCATGTAAATTTTCTCCTCACGAGCTGTCACGTTGACAGCTTGAGAGGAGAGGAGAGCCGGTAATCGCCATTCCTCAGAGGGGACATGTGCACTGAACATCAGTGTGCCCTAATGATCAGTGTAGCCCCAGCAGTGCCACCTGCCAGTGCCTCATCAATGCTACATATCAGTGCCTACCAGTGCACATCAATGCCACATATCAGTGCCCATCTGTGCTGCCTTTCAGTGTCACCTATCAGTGCCAGTCAGTGCCACCTATCAATTCCAGTCAGTGCCACATCAGTGTTGCCAGTCAGTGCCGCTCATCAGTGCCAGTCAGTACCGCCTATCAGTGCTAGTCAGTGCCACCTAACAGTGCCACCTATCAGTGCCATATATGAGTGCTGCCTTTCAGTGCCCATTAGTGATGCCTGTCAGTGCCCATCAGTGCCACCTACCAGTGCCTCCTAATCAGTGCAGCCTATCAGTGCCCATCATTGCAGCCTCATTAGCGCACATCAGTGAAGGAGAAAAATCACTTATTTACAATATTTTATAACAAAAACTAAGAAAAAACTTTTTTTTTTCAAAATTTTCAGTGGTTTTTGGTTTGGTTTAGCAAAAAAATAAAACACTCAGAGGTGATTAAATACCACCAAAAGAAAGCTCTATCTGTCTAAAAAAAAATGATAAAAATTTCATACGGGTACAATGTTCCATGACCGTGCAATTGTCATTCAAAGTGTGACAGCGCTGAAAGATGAAAATTGGCCTGGGCAGGAAGGGGGTATAAGTTCCCTGTAGACTAGTGGTTAAAGAAGCCTAATCTGCTTCTAACTAGTAAACTGCTTATTATTTCCTCCATCAGCTCATCCCCCCCACAGCTATTACCTTTTGTGTCACTCAACCCTTCCTCTTAGATTATAAGCTCTAACGAGCAGGGCCCTCTGTTTCCTCTTGTACCAAATTGTATTGTAACTGTAATGTCTACCTTCATTTTGTAAACCGCTGTGCAAACTGTTGGCGCCATATAAATCCTGTATCATAATAATAATAATATTTTATCCAGTGTTTGTCATGCTGGGAGGAACAGTATTTTCATACATAGGAATGTAATAGAATTGCGCTATGATCCTGTCTGGTGGGCCAATCATCTTGGGAGGTACTCAGTGTATGGTGTAATAAAATGACACTATGACCTTGTCTGGTGGTGTGGTCATGGTCCTACCCATACACTGATCAGCCATAATATTATGATCATGATAAGTAAAGTGATACATTGATTATCAATGTTCCAATTGCACTTGAAAGTGGGTGGGATATATTAGGCAGTAAGTGAACATGTTGTTCCTGAAGTTGATGGATTGAAAGCAGAAAAAAATGGGCAAACTTAAGAATTTTAGTGAATTTGACAAGGGCCTAATTGTAATGGCTAGACGACTTGGTCAGAGCAACTTCAAAAGTACAGCTCTTGTGGAATGTTCCCAGTCTGCAGTGCTCAGGACCTACCAAAAGCGGCTCAGGGAAGGAAAACTGGCAAACTGGAGACAGGGTCATGGGTGGCCAAGGCTGATTGATGCACATGGGGAGCAAAGGCTGGCCTGTGTAGTCTGATCCAATAGAAGAGCTACTGTAGCTAAAATTGCAGATAAAGTTAATGCTGGTTCTGATAGAAAGGTGTCAGAACATACAGTGTGTAACGGAACCGACTCAGACTGCGCTTGAGTACTTCCATTAGAATACCACTTCTCCATCCGAACACCGACAACAGACAGCACAGCTGACAGTACAGTACATTCTGAGACTGATCACATGATCATATGCAAATGCAGCTATATACAGAAATAGACTTAACACTCTAAACAGTAAGTTAATTAGGTTAGCTAGCTGGGTGATCAAAACAAAAGGTGAATGGGAATTCACACCTAGACAATGGTTTGATGAATTAGGATCTCACTACAGAGCAGACAGTCCAGCTCCTACACTGAAGTAGAGGAGAGGCCAGCGTGATCAGCTCTTTCAATTCACATGTCTAGTTCAGAATCAACAACCAGGAATGGTCTTCATACGGCCGATAAATATTACTGTCCCATCTCAAGTAATTTCAACCACATTCTCAGCGTCCATTAGTCACCCTGTGCCCTAAAGAGACACAGGGTGACTTGCTCATAAGAGGGATATGGGGAGCTGAGACAGGGATCTCCCAACCTCGGCAAAGTAAGCTGGGTTCCATGAGCCCCCCCCCCCCCCCAAAGTGACTCCCATCACACAGTGCATCGCAGTTTGTTGTGTATGGGGCTGCGGAGATGCACACCAGTCAGGGTGTCCATGCTAACCTGTGTCCACAGCCAAAAGTGCCTACAATGGGCATATTACCATCAGAACTGAACCATGAAGCAGTGGAAAAAGGTACCATGGTCTGATGAATCAGGTTTTCTTCTACATCATGTAGACGGTCGTGTGTGTGTCTTTTACCTGGGTAAGAAAAATCACCAGGATGTACTATGGGAAGAAGGCAAGCCGGCAGAGGCAGTGTGAGTTACAGGACTTAAAGCATCTGCTATTGACAGCTTGGTGCAGGACACCACAGCATATCTTCAGAGGCCTAGTGGAGTCCATGTCTAGATGGTTTAGGGCTATTTTGGCAGCAAAAGGGGGGGGGGGGGGGGGGGGGGCTTCAATATTAGGTGGGTGGTCATAACATTATGGCTGGTTGGTGTAAATGATAAAGCTTCAGGCCAATAGGCTTTGATAAACTGGACATAGCAATTTTAAATTATTTTTTTTGGGGGGCATTCGGTTTAGCATTGGAGCAAGAGATTATTCAGTTGGAGGGAAAAGATTTGATAAAAAAATGGTGAAGGCCTGGTAGGCCCTATGTATAATTCTGAATTGAATTTAGTTGTAGGAGCAAATAAGGTAGGTAGTGGAGGACCAGAGTATGTGGCTCCCCTCAAGGTGAGGTAGAATCAGGATATATTTCTTTTTGCCTGCATGTTTTCCAGTACTTGCGGATCTTGGAAAGTTGAAATTCAGCATCTTGCTCTTTGAATCTAAAAGACGTCAGAGATAGCCATTCTGTTGTAACTGACCATAATTTCAAAACCTGACCTATTCACATACATCCCAGTATGTGAAAAAAAAGCACACCTTCATTCTTTCTGCTCACCCAGCAGCATTCATGCACAGCCCCTACATTTCTAAAGGTACAGGGTTTGGTTTGATCTGAGGTCTGAAAAAAAAAAATAGGACCTTGGGGCTGATCTGAGGTTTGAAGATGCACGAATTGGGACTGTTTAATGGTGGACCACTCATGTTGGGAGATACAGTAGATTCTTGGGAGATATAGCAGTCTATGTATAGGGTGTAATAGAAGAGTAGTAAGATCTTATTTGGTGTAGCAGTTATAGTTTTGTAAATATTATTTTTTTTAATACCAAACATTTTACTTACCTGCTCTGTGCAATGGTATTGCACAGAGCAACCCCGATAGCACTCCTGGCTCCTCCCCCTCTGCTGAGTGCCCTCATAGCGAGCAGCTCACGCCTGAGCAAGTTCTGTGTGTCCTTTCCAGAGCGCAGCTTGGCCTGGCCTTCCTCTTTCACCTCACTGGCTGCTGTCTCTGAGCCAATGAGGAAGGAGACACACGACAGAGCTGCTGCTCTCATGCCCATAGTTGGGTCAAGATCAAGCTCAGGAAAAGTATAAGGGGGGGCTGGGGGGCAGAACTGAGCACTGAAGGTTTTTTACCTTAATTCAGAGAATGCATTAAGATTAGGTTTAGATTTTATAGCCACTTTAAGTTAGAGAGTACATTAGTCTCTGTATAAGGCATAAATAAACGGCACTATGATCCTATTCAGTGGTCTGGTAATGTTTTGAGTAATAGTTGAGTGTAATACATTGGTGCTATGATCCTGTCTGGTGATGTTTGGAGAAATCTAGTATAGGGTGTAATACACTGGTACCATGATGCTGTCCAGTGCTCCAGTCATTTTGGGAAACATAGTAGTCCCTGCATAGGGTGTATTACAATGGCACTATGATCCTGTCCAGCAATCAAGTCATGTGAGAGCTGCAGGTTTCCTTTCCTTATTACAGTGACACGGGGATGGAAAAAAAGAAAGCTGGGGAGCTTGGCTGGCACAACAAGCCACAGTTCCTGATTAAACATGCTGACAGTTTCCTTGTAATTAATAAAACACCCTCACAGTTTTTCTGTAAATTAACAGCCTTCCTTTTTTCCCTGTAAATTAAGTCTCAGTTTTCTTGTAAACCAACAAAACGGCCTTACAAGTCAGCAGAACAGTAAATTAACCTTCCTGTAGTAATAAATCACTAAATCATTCCAGAAACTCAAGGCAAAGTAGTAAAGCATGAAGCTTGCTCCCTCGTCCTGTAACAGAGGTCAGCATGTGAGTAAAGGTTTAGTCAGCATAATGAGTAAAGTTTAGTCCACCTCAAAAAAAAATCAGATATAAAGCATTGTGTTTTGTTTTGGCTATATAGCATCAGTCTGAATAACTAATTGCAAACTCCAAGTGGGCGCTCATGTGTTTTGCACTTAGAGAGGCTTCTGTCTAGCCACTCTGCCATAAACCCGAGATCAGTGGAGGGCCCTTGGTCACCTCTCACATACTTGTCCACTGAATCACTTTCACCCTGTTCTTCTTCAGAACTGCAACACAGGCCTTAGCTGTGTATTTTGGATCATTATGTTGGAAAAGTCAGCAGAACCAGGATTAGTAAGGGAAAGCTGGGGGAAGCAGGTAGATGGACGCAGGTGGGAGGAGCCTGGTCATGGCGGCTGTGGGGGGAGTGAGCGGCACTAGCCTTCGGCTAGGTACTGCTCCCCGACCTCCCTGGTGACCCTTAGGAGCCGACTCACCGGAGTCTGGAGGGCCGTGGAGTGGAGCCCGGAGAGCCGGAGATGGGAGCCAGACGAGGGTCGCAGTGACGGGGCCGGCCTCTCCGGTCCTTGGTGAGAGAGGGACCCGGACGGCTGGAGAGCGGAGTGACGTGGCGGGGGTGTGTGACCGGCCGCGGAGGCTCTCTGGGAGAGGAGAAAGCCGGCCGGTTGATCCCGCCTGATCTGACGGGAGAGACGCCGGCTTACAGTTACCGGCTCTCTGATGCCCTCAACCCCCGGCTAACTACTGCCCATAATCCCCGGCTGGCTACTGTCTGTAGCCCCCGGTCTATTGCTGCCTGGGGCCCCCGGCCAGCTGACTCTTCGATTCTGGGTCAGGGAGCCCGGGAGCGCCAGGAGACCCACCCTGCATCCCTGAGACGAAGCCCAGAGGAAAAAAAAAAAAACAAAAAAAACCCAGGTACAGAGTTGGAAGCCCAGAGGAATCCCCCCCAGGACAGAGCTGCTGTGAAGACCCTCCACCCAAGCTTGGAGCCACCATCCGGGGAAGAGAAGGATGAGTGAGACCTGCTGGGGGCCTATTGTATTGTATAGTGGACTCCTGATTGACAGTGGGGAACAAGGGGTTAAGGAGGAGAGGGGGAGGATTCCCTGGGT